CCCAACCTCTTTCTAGTCTTATCTCCCATTATCTCCAATCCAAGCATTTACGTATTTATATGTAAGGCATTATATGAGGAAGGAAAGGTGGGAGAGCGTGATTTTGGCCCTGAGACTTCAGCTCTGTGTCTCAATTTCAAAGCATCATAGATCTTGAACTGGAAGGAATCTAGAAGCTACCTAGCATAACTCCCTCATTTCACAGAGGAAGAAACTGAAACCCAGAGAAGTGAGCACCAGAACTGTGATTAGAACCCAAGTTCTCAAAATTCAGAGTCAATGCTCCTTCTATTCTAACACCTTACCTTCTCCTCATCTGAAAAATGGAGCTCAGATGATCACTAAAATCTCTGCTAATTCTAATGACCCCGATATCAAATTCTGCTACCCAAAGCACTAGAAGCCTTCTTCTGGTACTTTCATTACTTGGCAGGGTAAAACCAGTGAACAACTCAGATTGTCCATGGAAAGGCATCTTAGTAAAAATAACAGGATAAAGTAAAGTTCCCAAACATTTACTTTCTATACAACTTCTTTTGATATGTTCAAATTTTAAGTATTTCAAATGTGCACAGCTTATTTCCCCAAGACTTTCCCCAACCTGAAGAATGGGACTATCTTCTACTTTTTTTTTTCTTTTTTTGGCTAGGCAATGCAGTTAAGTGTCTTGCCCAGGGTCACACAGCTAGTAAGTTTCAAGTGTCTGAGGTCCGATTTGCACTCAGGTCCTCCTGACTCCAGGGCCAGTGCTGCCTCCTATCTTCTACTTTTTAAACTACTTGCAATGCCTTTGAATAGTGCTATACAACCCCAGAGTAGGCATTAGTTGAATAATTTACCTAGGGTATTGTCTTTCAGAATGCTGTCCATACTCATTTTCTATATTGTAACAGTCAGATGTTTGGGGGTTTTTTCTCCCAAAAGTAAGCAGCAAGAGAAAATGGGCTTCTTGCAATGTTGACCACACAGTATGTTGCTATCACAACAATTGCCCAAACATTATTTTTAATTAAGAAAGTTTCTCCTAGCTTTAGTCCCCTAAGATCAACTCAGTTCTCCAGCTCATCAAAGCCCAAGAGATCCTCCTCAGCAAAATACTGATAGCACAACTTATAAAAACAATGGCCTAGAAAGCTTAAATGTTTTCCCTATCTGGCTTTAGACCTTTTAAATTACACAGTTTAAATATTCTTATTAGGCAACTCATATAATTTTCGGTACCTCAATTCATACTTATTACACTTGTCCCAAAATGAAATGGAAGATGAGGATTGGGACACTAGCTCTAAAATTGGTTGCCTACTCAATGTTAAAGCCATCTTTTAAACAATCCTATAGATTTTCAAATAACACATAACCTTTTATTTTATATACATAGACCATATCATACCTGTATACTCCAGGTCTTACTTTTTTACCTACTTATTTTGAAGTACTCTCTTTTATCAGCTAGTAAGACAGTTTTGATGCCACAGATATTCACTTAGGAATTAGAGAACATTTATGCTATAATGGCTTATACAAAATTTAGGCTAAGAAGATTATGAACCAGATTTAAATGTCCAGATTTACATATGATTTTGACTATTATAAATATGAAATCTAAAAAGACGGCAGTTTCCCAAAAAAAAGGAAGAACAATGTCAGGGTTTCCATGGCCCCAAATTCTATCTAATTCCTTCCTTACATGCCTACAGCTTTGAAAAAAGATTTTCACCTGGGTCCAGTGGTTAACACAGGATCAAAAATCGAGAACTTGAAGGGACTATAGAGGTCATCTAGCCTAACCCACTCAGTCTACATATGACAAAACTGAACCTAGGGAGGATAAGTTACTTGCCTGAGGTCACACAGGTAGTATCAGAGTTGGGATTTGAACCCAGATCTTTTGACACCAGGACCAGTGATCTTTCTGGTGTTTTAAGTCTTTTTAAAACTAATTTTTTGCTGTTTATGTTCCCATGAATTAAAGCACTGAGAAAGTAATAAAATGCCTTGCTATTTGCTACATTTCAAAAATCAAGTCACCTTCCCTTGAGTGCCTACTACACATAGAATATCACACTAGGAACCATGGAAAAATAGGAAAATAGAAAACCAGGGCTCTTGCCCTAGAGAACTCTAAAATGGTAAAAATTTCCCATTCATTTGGAAGAAGGCAAACAAAATTCAACAGCTGCTAGAATGCACTCCCTTATTTTTGAATCAGTGTTCTTTAAGAAGTTGTGTAAAGATAAAAATAAAAATGACACCCACAATAAAAGACTCTTCGATTCATTAAAAACTATGTTTATATGGCAGTATAAAACTGTTCTTAACTTATGAAGCTATCAATAGGTTAAACTGCTAAATTCTACAAATTCAGAGTAAAAGCACTGTCATCAAGTTTGGGACTCAAGTTTGAAGAAAATAAAAAATAAATATTAAAAAAGACAACTTAAGACATCTCCAAAAGTCTAATGATGGAAAATGTTATCCACATCTAAAGAAAGAACTATGGAGTTTGAATGCAGATTGAAGCATACTATTTCATACTATTTTTTTCTTCTATTTTGTTTTGTTTCCTCTTTCTTGTGGTTCCTCCTATTGGTTCTAATTCTTCCTTACAACATGACTAACAGGAAAATATGTTTAATAGGAATGTACGCGTATAGCCTATATCAGATTTTGAGCCGTCTTGGGGAAGGAGGGGAAGAAAAATTTAAAACTCAAAAACTTATGGAAGTGATTGTTAATAAATCAAAATAAATTAAAAAAATTTTTAAAAATTAAAATTAAAATAAAAAAAGACAACTTAAATTTTACTTATGTTAATCAGTTGGAGAAATTTAAATGTCATTTTCAGAGACTGGATTTCTTTCCTCCCTTAAGTTTAAGTTAGTCCTAAAAATAATCTTAAAATACCTACATTCCTCCTATAAAAGAGATGACACAATATCTTTCACAATCTTAAGACTGCTTCTGTCAAAGAGGGATAAAATATAAAATAAAAAACTATTAGAAAAAGAGCAAGTAAATAAAGACTGAAAGAAGTTATCTTACAATTTCCCAATTCCCACACTTGTCAAGAACTGGATATACCTTAATAAATTCCTATGTAGGCTGGAAATTACAGGAAAAAATTGTTCAACAGTACACTTAATTAGGACTGTTACATTAAGTTACAATAAAACTGTTAACTTGACTGATTATTAAGCAAAAGGAAAGAGGATGGGGCAGTTAGGTAGTCCAGTGGATAGAGCACTGGGCCTGGAATCAGGATGACCATATGACCCTGGGCAAGTCACTTGGCATCTGTTTGCCTCAGTTTTCTCATCATAAAATGGGGATAATAATAGCATTTATCTCCCAGAGTTGTTGTGAGACCAGAATAAGATAATAATTGTAAAGCATTTAGCACTGTGCCTGGCACATAGTAAGCACTATGTGAATGTTAACTATTATTAGTATTCATTTTGTATTACTCAATAACTCAGCAGTTTAGCTGATCATGCTTAAAATTATGAACTGAATATAAGTAAACTATTATGTGGAAAGAGGAAGCCTTATGAAACTCATGACTATTATGCATCCCTAAACAATTCTAAAGAAAACATTTTTACATATTAACACATATTACATAAACATTTTACATACAAATATCAAAAGAAAATATTTTCTTTAACTGAAATACGCTGTAAAACAGTTCCCTGCAATAAGAGCCATTTCACCCTTACTTTTATATATTCCAAAGGGGGGACACAATTTTCATCACTTCACTATCTCTCGTGTGAGGGGAGAAACATCTTGGGTTACTTCAATTTTAATAGAAAAAAGTTTTCAGTTCATTGAGACATACTAAGATACAGAAAGCAACTGTACTTATTGGGCAGGGTTAGCAAATAGGAAGCAACAGGAGAAAAGCTGAGACTTCACTACTTCCTTCCTGTAAAATGAGAACCACAGAAAACCCAGTTTGCAGAAACTGATGAGGAGTGCTGGGCTAGCTAAGTCAGAACAGACACCGTTACCTACTTCCCAGCTGGTGCTTTTGTAGGAGGTCATGTAATGCACCTGACATCTTTGATAATACACAGACAGGTGGTCGGGAGGGGAAAGGTGCGCATCAAGGAAGGCGCACGTGCAGTAGTTTATGCAGGTAATAGATACGGTGGCTACTTTCAGCTTCCTTTCCCAATCTCCCTTTCCTGCTAATACCTACCTTCCTTCCATTGGTAATTTCCTACTTATGAGGGCTATGCAATGCACCCGAAACCTTTAATGATACACAGAGGGGTGGAGAGCGGTGCAAAGGTGCTCATCAAGGAAGGCAACCTTGCAGTGGCATATATTTAGGAAGGCGGCTACTTTCAATTTCCTTTTCTTCATACTAAAACCTTCCCTCGGTTGATAGTTTCCCATTTATCTGGGGCTATGTAACGCACCTGACACCTTTAATGATACACAGACAAGTGGTTGGCGAGGCAAAAGGTGGTCACCAGGGAAAGTACCAGTGCAGTAGTCTAAATTCAGGGGGTCACTTTAAATTTCC